GTGCCACAGTATGGGGAGCAGGTCCGTGTCAAGGGATTGGGGAATAAGTTGGCTACTGTTGTTGAAGAAACTGGGGATGATGACACTGTCCTTGTCCAATTTGGTAAAGTAAGAGTCCGGGTAAACAAGAATGATATTAGAGCTGTTGCCAGTAGTAGAAGGAATCGAGCTTCCATTTCAATACCACAGTTAAGGAGGAAGGTGTGTGACCACTACCTGAAAAATATCATCTTGCCTTTTTATGCTTATCCAATTTCTCTATCCTTGTTTGTTATATGGTGAATGCATTATTAGTAGTTGGCAAGTAAGATGCCTATATCAGTGAGCCCCAGGAAAGTGAAATTGAATGGATTTACCAGTACATAATTGACCTCCGAAATGAAGTCCAAACTTTCGAACTTATATGGGCTCTTCTTGGACTTGCTGTCTGTTATGATGGGAGTTATTCCAAGTTCCAACTAACCTGTATTATGACAAGTCTGGTCCAAACTTCTGTCTACAGTTTCCAAAATTGCAGGCTTTAGCCGTTTTAATGATTGAATGTTCATTGTAGCATCCGTCTTTTTCCTCTTCTCGCTTTGCCTTCTAAGATGACTTGTGATGCCACCAATTCCTTGTCAGTTGTGAAGTACTCTTCTAAATTGAAACTCATTGACAATTTTTCTATGATTTTTTACTGTGAGGATGTGTGGTGTATTTCAATTGTTCTCTCCTTGTGGACCATCGATGGCGTGAATGCAAGTTGTTGTTAGTTTTCCAAGCACGTGTATACTGCATTAGATCTTATTTGTGTATTTGAAGGATGGACATATTTTAGTTATTTCTTTGTTTGATTCTCAGAATTTTATAAATATGATTTGAAATTTTCTTGTATGCATCCTTTCTTCCTCATGGATTATTGTTAAAAATAGGAAAGTTGGTCCTCCCAAGTATTTCATGCGTATTTGGTGCCTTCTCAGCGCACATAGTTGGATGCTAACTTGATGGTCTTGTTTCCTTCTCTATCACAGATTAACAACGAAGAGCTCCAGAATCAAGTTGAGGGAAACAAAGATGAAGGCCCTTTGTATGGACCATTATTGCAGACATCAAAGAACACTGTGGATCTTCGAGGCATGCGAGTCGAGGAAGCTGCTATTGAACTTGACATGGCCATTTCTTCTAGAGGCTCGTACTCTGTCATCTTCATCATTCACGGTATGGGCACTGGAGCTGTTAAGGAACGTGTCCTTGAGATATTGAAGAATCATCCACGAGTTGCCAAGTATGAACAGGAAAGTCCACTGAATTATGGATGTACAGTTGCATATATTAACTGAAGATTTCTTGGTTGGTTTACCCTCTCTCATACTTTGGTTTTTCAGTGATTTGAGTCGCTATTTGATCCATGATCAGATTTTCTGGCCTTCCATGAACAATTTTGCTGTAATTTAATGCCTGGATATTTCTTTTTCCAATCGAAGAGCGATTTTTTAACAGCATGCACCAAGAGGGTATATGTATATGTATATGTACTCATATTATGTTTCTAGTTCGATAATTGGGATCAGATTATCTGTGCATTTGAGATCAAGCGCAAATTGCAAAGCTGTCCCAACCATATGGCCCTTCCTTTTTATGGCAGTTAACATGTCAAGCAAGAAGGACCTTCTTTTGTCCCCAGAGATATGTCGAGAAGACTAGAGATTTTTTTGTTTCTTTTTGGTTTTTTGGGTTGCTCGCATCCTGTATATCTGTAGACTTGAGGCTGCACAGTTCAAGGGGCTTGTGAATTCTTTCCTCTTCCGCATACTTGAGGAAGGCTGCAGATTTTTCAGTTTGTGCTTAAGATTATTGAATACATCATCAGCATTATTCGAATGCATTCATGGGATTCCGGCATGTTCAAGTTATGGACTTGTAAATCCGCAGATGGCACGACAGGATGGTCGAGAGGTAGCGTGCAGTGAGAGCTAGCGAGTGTTCACTGCTTTTGTAGGAACTGAGTGAAATTTGAAGGGGCAAAACATGGTGAAAATGTCCGGCTCGAGCAGGACCAGTACACGGCGAACAAAACCACCATGCAAGTACGTGGGAAAGCCGAGCTGCTTACGGTGAGATCGTCGAATTTGGCCTATAAAATATAATCACATGCATTATCATTTAGAGTTTTGGATAAAATCCCATAGTTGAAAGCAGAGTTCCTGGAGATACATTTCTTTATGTCTTTATTGTGGCGAAATTCCTCGGGAATAACGCCGTATACCTTACAATGGACCTTATTGCATTCATCGATTACTTAGTGACCAGGCATCGTCGGTTCTTCCCAAGTTCCACCAGGAATATCCGACGTTTCGGTGGCATAAGATTCTGGAGGGAAAGCAGCAGGTTCGGCGAAAGGGACCGCATGGCCATCAGGGTTAGCTCCGTTTGGTGAGTATACCGGCTTTCTGCTGACTCCTGGTTGACCCAAAGGTGGTGGCGTCGTGTACTCAATCAACATACTAAATCCCGGGCAATCGCCGGCACCATAGTCTTCTTTCCTCCCTTGACAGGACATTGGAGAGCAATACATGAACTCACCCTGCCACTGGCTTAATGGCGGGCCGTACTGGTCATCAGGAAACCTCGGAATGGGTGCAGGTTCATTGTGCACTACAGGATTATCGTGCGCATTAGGGGGCCGATCGCCACCGTCGTCGGCGTCTGGATCCATATCCCATCCGTCAACCATGCTCAGATCGCGGTGGTTGGGCCTGGGCTTGCCAGGCATGTCCTGGCCAAAACTGCCCATGTCAGAGCTGGCCGTGGCACCGCCCTTGCTCGATGATGCCAAGGTTCCCGCGATTCCTCCATGTAAGTCGAAATCCGTTAGCTTGCCGGCCTCTTGTCCCATGGCACCCCTCATAAGCAGTGATCTTTGAGCAGCGCTCATTCCTAGGCTCAGCAGGAGCGAGATTGCAGTAATGCAAGCCCATCTGGTCGATGCCATTTCTGAAGCTGCACTTTCAGGACCTTGCAAGGATTCGAATCGCTCGACAAAGCATTTTAAACAGCAGATTTCAGAAAGGCTCGTTACGGGTCCGAGTCGGCTGGCATGAAATGCGATTCGGATGATTTGGGAAGACGGCGGAGTTTGATCTCTTCGACTCATGCATTTTCAGTTTCGGGTATCAATCATGATGCTTGTGTGAGCATAGCTTGCGTAGCGTGTATTGCAGCTACATGCGACTAATACAGATCATTGCGTTTGTTGATTGTTTTCCTAGTGCATTAGGATTCATTACATGTTTCTCAAACGTTTGATCTTCGTGAACAAAGTACTTGCACTTGAAGATTGTTGCTAGATTAGCATTGCTAGTATGTCGACGCGATGGCCAATCTAAAGGCTAGTTTGCAGAGATCAGTCTACACAGAATGACTTACTGAGTGAAGTGTTAGACTGCGATTCATTCATTCGATTTTAGACTCAACGAGAGATACAAATGCAATTGTTCAGTTGGTTTCTTCGGTAACCTAGGCTTTGTTTGTTTTCCGGAAAGTGAACAATTAGGAAAATTTTTTAAATAAAATATCATTTGTATCGCTTGAAATAATTAGTCAATTAATTTTTTTATTTATAAATGACATTTTATGTCTAAATATTTACATGTACGATGCAAATTTTTTTTGTATATTCATATTTGTAAGAGATACAATCGATCATTTTTAAGAAAATATTTTTCAACTTTAGCCTTCGATTTCTTGAAACAAAAGTACCCTTAATCACAACTTTAGCCTTCGATTTCTTTAATTTCAAGAGTGGACACAAAAAATATAGCTAATAAATCATCCCTTTATATAAAGAAAGATATGACTAGAGTGCTGCTTTATTATAATTTAGGGATCGAAGCGGGACGATTAGGCTGACGTCTTCTCAAACCCGTTCCATTAACTTTTTATTGCTCTTCAAACTTGTAATGATTTGTGGTATAATATTCCAAATCCATGTTATTAAAGTAGTCAGATTTTTGCCGGGTCCATAACTCGCCATAGTATTTTGTAATAAACCATGATCTTATTGCAGATATCACATAGAGCCCTCGAATTTGCAAACCGCGCAATTATTTTTTTGAAACTCATACGTTACAAATCTTCAATTGAAAACCTGTGGGAGTCTCAAAACGTAGGAGTTGAAGAAATTCGATAAAAATGCGAGATCTTTCGATGATTAGAAGCTAGATATGACCGGGTGATTGTCGTCGAAAAATGTTTATATTACAAATTTTTTACAATTTTAACTGAGTAAAGGCAACACAAAAACTCCAAGAATTATTACAAATCCTAATAGAATTTAATTAATATCTATACTTACACATCTACGTAAGTAACATAAAAGGAAACAAATAAATTTTTTTAAAAAAAAATTTGATTTCATGGGAAAACAAAGGTTTTCAGTTTGTGGGTAACGAGGCATTTTGCAAGAACATGAGAGAGAGAGAGAGAGAGAGAGAGAGAGAGAGAGAGATATGGCGCTCCGACGTGCCGGTGCCGAGCCCGGCGCCGAGGTCGCGGAGGACGCCGTGGTGCACCGGCACGTCCGGCGCCGAGTCGTGGAGGACGCGGCGGTGCTGAGTCCGGCGCCGAGCATGGAGGGCGCGGCGGCGCTGAGTCCGGCGCCGAGTCATGGAGGGCGCGGCGGTGCTGAGTCCGGCGCTGTGTCATGGAGGGCGCGGCGGTTCTGAGTCCGGCGCCGATTCATGGAGGGGCCGGTGGTTCCGAGTCCGGTGCTGAGTCATGGAGGGCGCGGCGGTACTGAGTCCGGTGCCGAGTCACGGAGGTCGCCGTCTCTCTCTCTGTCTCTCTCTCTCTCTGCGAAGAATGCAGCGAGCGCCTGTTGTTGCAGAAACCTCGCGGCATTGGCCTCCGCCTTCGTTGTCGTCTCGTTTCATAGCCACAATGTAGAGACGCGTTCGCAGGGAGAGCGCTTGATGACGCTTCTGCAGAGCATCATCCCATCGCCGGTAATCTCTCCCTCTCTCTCTCTCTCTCACACACACACACACACAGAGGCGCACAGACACATTGCATCTGCGCGAAACAGAGTCCACTGAACTGATTCGAGTAGTCAGAAGTGGGACTTCGGGTTGCTTGTCCTAAGTCGGAGAGAGGCGCGGGATGTATTTGGGTACCTTAACGGGATCGCTTTGGATGGTGGGACAGAGATTGTATGTATCTTTAGTATTCCCTCCCCTCGCCTTTGAGTAAATGATGAAAGCCCGAATCGTGTGAGCCCGGCACGAGTCGGGGGCGAAGAATTCGGAACATAGGGGGAGTCAAAGGTAGGACCTTTCTCGTTCCGTCGCCATGTGAAAGTGAGTGGCGGCCGATTAAAGGAGGAAAATGTTATGCCATAGCGTGAAGTAGATAGAAAGAGCGTGTGAGGGCGTTGGTTAAATTCTGTTTCTTTTGAGAGAGAGAGAGCAAGACGGCGAGCGGTGAAGTATGGAGTCGAGGCCGCCCGGGTCAATAAATCGATTGCACCGGTACATTAGCTGCATTAGATTCTGATATCTTCAGCCTTTAGTATGCATCACTGAGTGACAGTTTCTTTTGTCTAGGAATTTCCTGATTTCTTTTTTCGTAAATTTCTTTGTTTTTTACATGGTAAGTTTGCTTGCTTTGTACAATTTTTTCCAATAACTTTCTATAACTGCAGGAAGGACCGATATATTCTCTAGAGTGATGCGAAGATATTGGCCTTTTGTGCTAATTGCTGTATGTTTGTTCTATAATGCGTGCATTGTGAAATAGCTCATTTTCTTAGCTAGTGAAATAGTTTTGATGCCATGAACTGAAATTGTAAATAAGCTCATTTATCAAAAACGAAAATATTGTCAGTTGATTGATGGTTTTAATCAAAATAGGATTTCACGCGTGTTGCCATCTGTTTTAAAAAATCCTCTTATTTCAAGGTTACGTGGAAATCACCAGATCCAAGAATGCGTTATGCGGCGCTCAGCCATCACAGTGTGAACTTAATTTAAGTGCCTTCGACTTCTCTCAAATGGTTTGTCTTGTTTTTGTGCCATTTTGCTCTCCTTAGTCTAGCCCTTTCCACAATTTATTGCTAATTAATTGCTCGATATGGGTGGTTCTCCTACAGCAGAGGTTTAGTCCTGCTGGGTTTTTGAATGGAGTTGTCTTGATTCTATTGATTCTGGAATTGCCATATGGTCTGCTATTGCCTCTATACACAGGGCTCGCTAGACAGCAATAAGTGAATCATGCACTGCGTTTCTCATCATATTTGGAGTGGCTCAGCTTGTTATTTTCTTTTCTGGTTGTATTTGTCCTGATGCCTAAATATGGAACATGATTGCATAAGTGAGTAATTTGCACAGGCATATTCATCCTTTGTAATTGAAGTAAATTGCTTTCACTTCCCGCACTGATGCTTAATAGAACCATTGTTTATTGCACAATGATGTGCACTTGATTGTGAGTTGTGATGTGCACGAGAGACATGAAATCTTAAGGACGCAAACCTCATCATTAAAATCTTCTTTTAGAATGTGTAATTAAATGTATGACTGCCCACCCCCTCACTGGAAAAAAATCCTAACCAAAATAAAAAAGGAACAAAAATTTAATGACTGGTAATCTTGCATAATGTGCATATTAACCTTTTTTTGCTTATCACATTAGGTTCCAGTCGTAATAATCAGTTAATTTTACTTTAGGAAGGTGTAATGAAGTGTTGGGACTCTTTCCGTCTACCGAGAAAAAATCCGACCAAAAACGACAAGGAAGAAAAAAAATGACAGGAAATCTGGGTTTCATCTGTGCATATTTATCTGCTCTTGCTTACCGCATTATGTCCTAACGATATGGCAACTCATTCATTATTGCCCTTTGTTTTGCCATTCATTTTGTATGTAAGTGGCCGGCTGTATTAAAAACACTTTCGAGAAAACATCGAAATTTTTTTCGTGGTTCCTTCAGTGTTTTTTTTTTTCTCTCTCAAAGAACCAGATTTCCTAGGTCACATTAGGGTTGAAATGAGAGAAAACCACTCTACAGATGCAGATATCATCGACCACTTATCTGGTAGTGATGTGAATGGAGGGTCATGTTCATCATCAAAAGATAAATTCCCTCCTAAGCCATCTCAAGTGAGTGCTAATTCCAGATCTTTAAAGCTGAAATGGCGTCCTGCTTCGATCGGTAGTGTTCCAAGTTTTCGGGGAAAAGAGGATGTCAAAGCCAAACTCTGTTCGTTTGAGACTGCCAAACCTTTGAAATTGGATGCAAAGTTGCTGTCCATCTCCGATAATTATCCAGATATTCCGTCGAATCCCATCATGGAGATGCAAAAGGAAACCGAGGGTTTCCTGTTCAAAAAGCTTGAAGATGGATTTCAGCTAGATAGAGATGTGATTGGAGAAGTACTTGGTAAACATTTTGAGCACTGCTATCCCGTTGATTTTTTGCACATCCTCTTTTCTTGATAAATAGTTTAATTGTAATCTGCAGGATCAGGGTATAAGTATTATTTGAGGCTGAGAAAATTCTTGAATACAGTATTGCATCATTCTCTGTTTGGAGATGTACACATTTTCCTTAATCATAGAGATCTGAAAGTGACATTGAGATGATCTAATATATCGGTTTATTTCTCAGTTGCTTGCAAGAGAGATGACTCATATGAACAGTTTCTTGACAATGGTGGAACTTCCTTAGTATTTTTTTTTGGCACACCTAAAGCAGGACACTGGTATGAAAATGAGATAGTAGTTTAAATTATGAGGAAGGAGAGTACTAATAGAATTTTTTGACATGCAAAAGGTTCTAGGTATAGAAAATAGGATGGTTTTGAGAATCCAATATGTGTAAGTCAAAGTCGCAAACAGAATTTTTGATACATATCAAAATTAAAAGAACTTTTCTAATCACATGTGAGCAGAAATAGTAAAGAACTTTCTCATATCTATCAATCTGCTTGAAGGATAGCAGTCATTAAGGAAGTAATCTTCATGTAAAGCAATGAGTTTTACGGATAAAATAAGCCTCTTAAAGAAAGGGAGTTAATTTGACTACTAGGCAATAGGAGACCAAGAAAGAGGGATGAGAAAAGCCCTTAGTCATATTTATGCCCCTTGATGGTAATGGACATATAATTAAACCGAAAGATGGTCATGGATCAAATTACCAAGTTGCTGTATTCTTTATTTTACCTCGATATTGAAGATAGATTAACTAGCCATATAAGCTTCTTGACGAATTAGTGAAGAATTAAAGAAGAAGATGTGAGTAAAGCAAAGCTAGCAGCTTTTAATGACCTTATAAATGGTTGGGCACCAAAGGAGAGAGTGATGTGTATTAATTTACTAGATTACAAGAAAGACTAGAGATCTGAACCAGATAAAGAAGGACGAGTTTGAACAGGACCTACTTGCGAAGGATGAGGTTAAGGATAGAGGAGAAGTTATTGGTATAAGTACTTCAACGAAGGTTCTGGAAGGAATACTTTATTGGGGGAGTTGAGTAAGAGTGAAAACCTTGTCCTTCTATCAACAGATTAGGAAACATGAAGTTTTTGGGGCTTTGAAGGAATAAAGATGAGAACTGGCGGAACCAAACGGCCATCAATTTAACTTTGGAAAGATAGGGAGGAGATAGTTATTTCATACTCTTCTAAGCCCTCTTCAGTAAAATCTCTGGAACAAAGGACATGCTTGATTAGTGAAGTAAAAGCACTTGGTAGCCATATATCACAATAGAGCTGGTATCCAGATTGTGCTAACTTCAGAGTGAATGAGTAATTTACCATGTGTTGAAGCGAGAATACATATTTCGGACAGCCAACAAGGTTTGCGCTCAGAGGATGGAATATTGAGGCAATCTGCTAGTTGCGGAGATTTGTTGAAAGGTTTGGGCATGGTCTACATGGAGATAGCACATGAAAGGCTTCGGAGAAAAATAATTTGTTGGATTTAGAGAAGGACGAGTAATTACCAATAAGCAAGCTATAAAGAATATGTATGGGGGAGTTATGACTCCAATAAGGACACATGGAGAAGAAATGGAGGACTTGCATATAGCCCTAGAGTTACACTAAGTCATCATCCTTTTTCTCTAGTAATGATCTTGTTAATCGAGGATATTTGTGATTATATATCTTGTTGCATTATTTTTTAGGATGGTATAGTATTAGACAAAACTCCAGTAGGAGTAAATGCTGAGCTCAAACTTTAGAGGAAAATGTTGGAACTTGGAATTGAAGGGTTCTCATGTTTGTTGGTCAAAGACAATGCATTTGGAGTGTAAGTCCAGTAGAAGTAGAGGTTCGAGAAACAAAACGGCAAGAATTAGAGACTGAGAAGTTCCAAAGAATGAATGTTTCCAATATATTAGGCCAATTTTGCAAATGATGAAGAAATTGATAGAGATTTCATCTAGAGAAGAGAATAAGGATGAATGAAGTGAGGTTCATCCATTGCTTTTTGTGAACACTGAATAGGGCTGATGATGTTTTATGGCATGAAATATTGGGTGGTCAAACACCAAAGTTTGCAAAAAAATGCATCTGGCAAAGACGTGAATGTTCGTTGGATGTGTGCGTTCTCAAGAAAAGATGTGATTGGAATTGTATTTTTCAGAGAAGAAGCGATTGAGGCCCTAATCTAAGAGGAGAGAAGTTCATATAAGGTGGTTTGAACGATTACAATGATCCTCCTATGAACATGTGCAATTATAGGATGAGTTTACTAGTTGAGAGGGGTAAGAGAAGACCTAAAAGACATGAAAAGAGATGAAAGGATAAGATTGGAGTACTTAGATCTTACATAGGACTTAAAAAAACAGATTGTGTGATGGCAATTTGTATATGTAGTGACCCCGCTTGTAGCAATATGTCTTAGTTTTGTTGTAGTGGAATAGGTTCCTGACAAACAAGAGTGTCAGATCTTCTAACAATGGCATAATGAGATGAAGACCACGTGTATTTGCGAAATTAATGATAGGTTCAGGAGGATGTTGGCATATTCACGAATATATGGACTTTTATTTGGAAAGTATCATATTGCAATATGGGAAACCACAAAATCAGTTTTTATTCTCTTCTGGTAGTGCCTTGTGGCTAATACAGAGGTTCGAACAGGAGCCTGTAACAGCATCAGTGCAAGAATCCCATATACTGACTGGCAACTTGTGCTAATGAATTCAAGCCATTTCCACTCTTATATTGTAGGGCGGAATGCACCAATGGTGATTTTGGAGAGTACATTTACAATGTTATTATTGAGGCCACAGTTTCTGTGCTTGATACTATCCTGCATCCTTTGTATTCAAGCAACAATTCATTCTGGTTCTAGGATTGACTCTTCAAAAAAAGGAAATGTGTGCTAGGTATAGAACCAAAATCAGCATTAGGAACGTTATGCTGGTGAGAGGAGTTCCACCATTTGCTCATACAAAGTAATATTAGTTTGTATGTCCAATGACAGTCGAATGCTAAAATTTATCTTGTTAGTGTCAAGCATCACATAAGTTCAATTTGCATATCATCTTGCGGAGATAGATTATATATCAACTTGCTATTCTGTTGAACAAAATCTTTCAATCATGCTGTGACTTACATCGGAAAGATCTACAGATTGTCATGCTTGTCATCCTTCTATATATTGGTCATCATGCAGTAAATTCTGAGATCATAATTTTTAAAAGCTTTAGCATTCATATGCCTCTATGGTTGTCATACATGTCTGATTTAAAAAATATGTATATCCTCCTCTTCCTAGGATTTGCGATACTTCTGCCTGATGACGATATTTATTTCAGCATGCAGACATAGACGAAGAGAAGACAAAAAAAAGTATGAAAAATTCATTTCCTATAAAGAAAGAAAGGAATACTTAAATTTTCTGTTTACAGTTTCTTTTTCTAGATTCTACTAAACAGGAACTAAATTGTGAAAGATCTGCTTGAACATGTGTACCAATTCCATCTCCAGCCTATTGAAAGTCACCCTCACGCATATGAACATGCATAAAGTAAAACGAGATGTTTGGTGAGAGAGAGGATAATGTATGAATGATTTCATTGATTTATGCACTTAATTCTTGAGATGAATGCAGCATCATATATATGCACTTACAATGCAATGAGATGAATGCAGCATGATGTATTCACATATAATACAATGAAATGGCTGATGAACAATACTTCAACTTGATGCAGGGATCTGTGGATACGATGTGAAACAGGTATGTATGATTGATTGCCCATGTTTTGAAATGATAATATTCAATATTATTTCCACTGGAGTTCATCTTGTTCAATAAAACCTGATCATGTTGAGGTCGTATTGTACAATTCATGAGTTACTTCATAAGCTAGATACAAGCCAAGTATAATTATCTTGCTCCATTGGGATTCTAGCTATTTAACTCGAGTGGAATACTTGGTGAATAAGTTGAAATAGAACAATTAATTGTGGTTTCTTTGTTTGTTTGCTACAAATCAATAACATGGCAATGGATGAGAATATCCAACCGAAAAGCTTAAGCCATTAGGTGGAGAGAGACTACATAAATGTGAGGCTCATATAAATCCCGTAGACAAGTGACGTGAGATAATTTAACACCCTCTCTCATGTGCAAACCGGATTTAGGGCAACGCATGGAATTGACGAACGGGGAGCCTCACAAAACCTGGTTTTGATACCATGATACAAAGTTTAAAATAAAAGTTTAAACTATTAGGTGGAGGGAGACTACGTGAATATGAGGACTGTATAAATCCTGTAAAACCGTTCTTGTAATATATTTCAAGAAAGAGCAGATTAGGATGCACTTTGAAATGTGTAAATTGAATAACAAAGAAATGATCATCCTTTCCCTTTTGTAAATTCCAACTTATCAACAAATAGGTCAGTAAGTGCCTTTTTTGTTGGTTGTAACAATTGGCATAAATGCTGTACTATAACAGTTCAACTTCACTTTGTAGCAAAAGTCAGAAAATTTTCAATTCAGTTCTGAAATTAACATAGAAAGACCCTTTATGTTTTATCTTGCCATTGAAAATAGCATAGATAATCTCTCTTGACAGAATGTCATATTAGTAACTTACGTGAACAGACTTGTCACATTTGAAATGTCTTCAACAATGATTGTTTAAAGAAATGGGTGCGAGACTGATAGCTGATACAAGCTTTCAAGGGGTAAAATCCCTAGTAGGCTAAACTTGGCTGTTGAATAAATTCATTTCAAGTGCAGTCAAGTTATTAATTGTAAACATTTAACTTATCATGGTCAACTAAATGATAAGACAAGTTAATGATATCACTAACTCCTGATAATCTTGCATTTCTTCTTTCTCAGAGCTATGAGAAACTAATTGAATTTTCAGCCATAGCTTCAAAGGAAAGGAGCAACTTGGATGGAGAATCCTTGAAGAAGGTTGGTCAAATTGTAAAGTTTCTCTTGCATGGTTCTTCTATTGTACCTAGTACTTCTTAAAATTTTCTGGGACTGCTCAATGCTCATTGATTTTATAAACTTAATTTGTCATCTTGGACCAGAACTATCTGACTGATAAAGGTGCAATACAGACATAAAATTCATAATGTTTTCATATCTCAAATTTATACTTACCAATTTACTTATTCAGAAAACCAGGCACATCAAGTTTCTCATCTCAACTTCAAACAGAATGATGGCCATGTTTATTAACTCACAGAATTGATGGATAAATGTCAATTGTCTCTTATCTTAAGTAAGATAGAGCAGATACAGTTACTCATGTTTGCCGCTTAATTTCAAGCTTAATGCACGTAAACACCAAAATTGTACTCTTTTATAGACAAGGAGAATGATATGTCTCCTTTTGCACCAGAGATTTGGTCAGTGTGAAATTTACTACCTGCAAATCCCTGAAAGTTTTGTGAATATGGTTTGAAGGAATAACCAGTTTTTTTTAAGGAATAACCAGTAAAAATAGGTGGATTTGGGGCCTGCCAAATGGGGGCCTTTAAGTTTTATAGAATAAAGCAGAGCTCCTTAATTGTCACGGATTTATTGGTGTTATCTGGGGCCATGAGGGGGATAATTGAAACATTTAAATAAGTATTGAGAAGCACAGGGAATCCTTTTGTGGTTCTTTTTCTTAATTTGACGCAAAACACTTCATTAATGCATGTGAAGGCTCTGGGTAGATTGGTCAAATAGTGCTATGCAAGGCCCTCCATCATTCTTGTTCTTCATTTGGTTTGTCACAAGTTTACATTAAGGATCAATGTCAATGATCATAAGAGCAAGTTGATATAGCTTGTTGTATGTGGTTGGATTCAACGTATTACCTATGAATTTTGACTCCGCAGCTTAAATTGCTCTCGCCCGATAGGATAGCTTATCCTGGTCAGAATGTTTACAAGAGTCCATATTTGGTTCTTCGGAAGATAGTTATTATGTATACTATCCTTTTTCCTTGAACGTAATTTTGTAATTATGTGATGTTAACATCTGTGTGATTCTGTCACTTCTTTTTAATTCTTCTTGTTCATCTCTGGCTTCTTTTTACAGCATAGTGATATATACTCTTTTTTTTAATTTGTTTGGCTCATCCCGGGCTTCTCTTACAGCAGAGAGATATAATCCCTCCATCTGAAATGCTTTGGCCACAAAAAATGTTCCAAGACACTAAATGTGCTGGAGGGTATGCTTATTGCCTTGTACTTATTCTTGTAAACAGCTTTCCTTCACCCAGATCTTTCAATTCAACCCCAAATGTGCTTAATTTTCTTGTTGTCGTCTAAAAAGCTGAGTTAGTGCAACCAATAGTCATTTTCGCAGGGAAAAAAATCAGCTTGCGACTACCATATTTTCCTTCTGGTTACATCCATTGGTTTCTTTTGTTGCAGAGAAAGAAGTAGATTGTCCCAGCCTAATTCTGCTGAACTGACTAGACAGCATATTGAGAAGCAGAATCAAGAAAAGGAAATTTTGGCCACACTATTTTGTGCTTCCAAGATAAATGATGATGAACCTCGCCTTACAACTGGTAGGAGGTCATTTCTTGGAAATACTAAGAGGAGATCTAGAGCATTTGGCTTTGTGGTGTCACCAGAAAATCCAAGTCCTGATGACGAGGCTGAAGTGACAGACTCAAACTGGGAAAATAATGACAGTGGTAATTTACCTTTTTAGACTCCGTTCTTGTATGATGGGAAGATGCTATGAAACTACGATTTAGAGGAGCTTGCACTCTTCAAGAGTTTCTTAGATAAACCTCAACAGGAACTGACTCTTGAGCCTTTATTCTGAAATGTGGACATTTTTATCCTAGTGGTCCTTAGAAGTTGTAAATTCAGGTTACTATTGATTGCAAATAATATCAGAACCATATCGCTTTCCTATCCCATGAGTTTCTTGTGCGTTTTGAGATAAATACTGTCTGAGATTCTTTACCTACTAGTTGTTAAAGGTCTAAAATATGTAGAGGTCCTTGAATGCAGAAGTTGGAGATGAACTTATATTGGCCTATAGTGGATTACATGTTAAATCCTCTTGTTAGAATCCAATTATACTTCCCTTCTGAATATCTGCTCGTAATATCTGAAGTTTGCCCATGGAAGCTGCATAGGCCTGCTTCACGACGTTATATATATATTTTCAAAAGGATCCATGTTCTGCACTTGATCACCTGTTAAGCTTTCTGACTCCAATGCTTAGATATGCACCCTGAAGATACAATTTTCTTACTGAAGAACCTTGTGCAAGTTTTAGAGTTATAGCATGAATAACAGTCATTCTGAATTGTATTTACGATATGATGGATTTACAAGCTTATAAAAGGTTCACCCTGGAATATTCAATATTCAAATTCAACATGAAAGAATACGTGGAGCTGGTTATGGTATACTGTCCATTGATGTGTGCATTGATTTTTCTTTCATCTTTTTGCCATTTCCTTTACTTTTCCTTATTTGAGAAAGTAAGTAGCTGTTAATATAGATGAGGAAGAGGAAGATGCATATGAAGTTCTCCGGAAGGCTGTATTGGAGCATCGCAGAATTATGAGAGAATACTACGGAGCAGTGAGTGACTTCTTCCTAACCATTTTGTTTCTAAATTTCGTGTTCAATTTCATTCTTTTTAAAGTGTGCTGAAAAAAATATAAAGTTATGTGCAATCTATATATCAGGCTGTTGAAGCTCATGCTAATGGAGATTGGGCTTTGGCTGAAAGACTTTTGGAACAGGTAAAGCTTATAAACGTCTGTGAATATACTAGCAGTTGTATCTTCATAAAGTTAGAAGGCCAATGATAGTCCTGTTCGAGATTCTCAGTAGGGCAGGTTTGATTCCATCAATCCATGGATACTATCAGGGATTCAAGCAACGACTAAAGCCGTGACTCGAATATACAAAGAATCAGCCACTCAATTGCTATCAATTCATAAATAAGGTACAAAGTTGATGGACGTTAAATGGATTCTTATTGGTCTGTAGAATAAAGACGAGACCAAAGTGGAAGATGCTGAACAAGTCAATGCCAATCTGAAGAATCTCACTTTTCCAACTCCCCAAAGGGAGTCCTCGACCTATTCAGTGGACATCTGAGTTCCATTGATTGATGGAAAAATATTTCAGCATCCTTGTCCTTTTAGACAGCAACTTTAGATAGGAGCTCTTTTGATTGGCCTTGTTCTGCCAATGATATCATGCTGGAAGTGGACACTGCCTTCTAAATCATGCTACTAATCTGATGGGATTGGCATGCATTTATACTTGTTACCATAAGTGGTTTTCTATGGGAGCTCGTATTGGATAATGTTCTCAAAGATCTAACAATCAGTAGAATCCATACAATGAACTTGCTATATTTTCAATTGTGACCTTCAAGCACTTCGGAGAATCTTATTGGCAGTAAATAAGTGATTCTTCTTTAAGATATTTGCTTCAGAGGTTTTTAGGTGCAACCTGGATCTTATAAAAACTTAAGGTATTTAGGCATGTGCTGATTGGTTTGTGTGAATGGGTTTGCCGCCCGTACTCCGGAAGTTTAAAAAGAAAAAATTCTGGGAAACTGATATGATAATTCTTTGTTATACCAGGGACACTACTACAAGAAAAAAGCTCGTGAAGCAGATGAAGAATCCAATGCAAAGATTTACGAGACAAGGTATTACCTTTTGCAAGAGGATTTTGAGGTCAACAGTGCTTATAACAGAGTCAATGCAATTGAAAAAAATGTTTCATGGAAAACATATTCCATGCTTTGAAAATGTCTTTTCCGTTTTGTAATTTCTGGGAAGGAGTGAAAGAACTTACTCATCATTGTTGTTCTCTTTGTGATCAGTGGCAGAAATGCAGATGCGGACGACGAATTTTTGCTTGACCTGTGTGAACAAGATCCCAAGGAGGCAGTTGGTCTCATGAAGCGTCATCTGCTGTCGCTTTCTGGCATCTACTGTCAGTTACTTTACCTATCGTGTGACTTTTGGTTTAATTACAATACATAGTATTGGGGTAATAACACGTGATTTATTTTCTGACAGCTTACCTCAAAGTTGTAATCGAATCTAATGGTGTAGATACCTCTGAAGGAGCTCTTAGACGAAACGTAAGTTTCACTTTCTCAAACATAAAGTTCAACACAGAACCTGCATGATCCTCGTTTCTTTCATTTTTAAGAGAATGTTGATCATGTTGTTGATTTACTTGCTCTTATCCATACAGATCTTGAAGCTCCTGGAAAGGGAATCCATTGAGTGGACTGAAGAAGGAACTGCGGGAACCATTTCGATCGTGCTGGACAATATCCAGCGAGAACGCCTGAGTTTTTACAGGAAGAAACCTGGGCATAATTCTCCTTTCTGAGAAGTTATTTGTGATGAGAATTCTGGTTTGCTCACCTATTTACTGGTCTGGAGTGCCAGTTGGACACGATGGACATTATATTTTCATTTGAGGTTGTTGTCTGAGTACTGGTGAAAGTGATCCATCGACATTGGACTTTGGTGTCTTTTCGGAGAAGCCATCCATGTGAAGCGAGGACTTCATTTGAGGTTTAATAATTATGTCTTGCATATGCAAGAACCCTTTTCTACAGTGCAATGTGTTTCAACACTTTTCTTGATCGACTATTCTTTCTTCCTTTTTTCGCTTTTAATCGCCATTTATGTCTGTAAACATTATGCATGCCAGCAGGAATATGTACATATTACATTTCATCATTCTTTATTCAACATCCGCTGCGGATTATGGCATTGATCCGCTAACGAAGTTGCTGGCTCTGATACCATGAAGGGTATACCATGAAAGGTCTAAGGTAAGAATAAATGGAGATTATAGAAGGGTATGCTTTCTCATGTCGGCCTGCATCTTTGGTCACATAAAGGAACAGGCCTTTTAGTCTCCAGACACCATTGATCTTTACCTTGGTGCTCTCAGGACTTTCCGATCCACAGGATCCACGTAGAGTGGCAAGTGAAGAGCATACTCGTGGAATCAATATATCCTATAAAATTAGTATTATAAATTTAACCTCGCCTCTGTTCAACCTTCATCCTTCTCTCTCTCTTCCTCCCTTCGTTCCTATCTTCATTAATCCGGGGGTTCAGCTTTAATTTTAATCTTTCGAGTAATCTTATATGTTCCGACGAAAATGCCCTTACTCGGCCCGAAATCGAGCGCGCACACGAGCGGGCACATTTCATCAAGTACAGGGGCTCATTTGAAATAAGGCAAAATACGAGACCCTTTTGTGAAAAGGACCTCACTGCAAAATTGGGAAAAAAAAATTTCTTCTTTTTCTAATAAATGTTAAAGATTCGGCCAAAACAAATCAATCACGAACGCATTCCCCAGCGACAGAATATATCTCAAGCCAGCTCCTCCAGCTCCGCCACTGCAACGCAACGCTGGAAAGCTTTACCATAAAGGAGCAAACTTTCTAGGGTTTCTGCTGCTCGCCGACCACAGTCTCTCTCCTCCGGCGGCGTCGACCCGGGGCAACCTCCGTAACGCGACCCGATGGGAGGCTCCGTGAAGGAAGTCCGGTCGAAGCAGGAGCTCGACGCCGCCGTCGGGGGCGGAGCTCCGGCGGCCCTCCACTTCTGGGCCCCGTGGTGCGACGCGTCCAAGCACATGGACCAAGTCTTCGCCCACCTCTCCACCGACTTCCCGCTCGCCGAGTTCCTCCGGGTTCGTACCGGTTATCCGCTGGCGGAGTGGGTGATTGCTGTTTGTTTCTCGAATTCTCTCGGTTTATGTGGTGCGGACGGATGGGTAAAGATTGCCTGCGCCTTGATAGGGCGCACTTCGCATCGCTAATCACTCGCCAGGACTTGTAAAGATGGATGAAATATGACCTTTTTTGGGTCTGTGCCAGTGTTATGTGTTGAATGTGGACTGATTTGAGTATCTAAGTGGTTGTTGTTTGTACATAGCATACGTGTTCTTAGGATTGATTCGCAGAATTCTGTTGGAATGGCCCGAAAAAATCATTGCTATATTTGACTAATGAGATCGGGAGTGCTGGTAGTGCGTTGAACCTTGAGTAGGTTCCGTGAATTCGGGATAGTGCTGACGGGATAGTGTTGGCGTGTTCGCTGGTTAGTCTGATTTGTACATCTCACGGCAGTTTTGTTAAATTATCCCGAGATTGTGATGATGGATCATGATGTTGATTTGAGGCAGAAAGGAACGTGAAAAAAAGCTTTGGCTCATCGGTTGTGTATAACTGTGCTTTAGATAGAATTGCAGATGCAAATGAGGCTCTGTGCTCTTGCTTTGGTGTGATTTAAAATGTCTCTTGCCTCGTGGATAGTTTCATTAATGTTCATCTCTAAATTATTCTGTAGGTTGAGGCTGAAGAGCAACCTGAAATATCTGAGGCTTATGCAGTGTCTGCTGTGCCCTACTTTGTGTTTTTCAAGGTGAGTCTTCGTGAGCGTCTTTGCTCTGTCTTTTGTTTGATGGTATGACTTTTTGGTCTAATACTGTTTGAATAGTTCTGTCTTTCTGAATAGAAGATTTTGTACATTTTAAAGATCCTCTGATGTTGATTTATGTTCCTCCAAGAGGGTTGCAATTTTTTCTGGTGTATGTACAGTAAAATAAGTGGCGGTACTTTTCGTTCTCATACCTTTATATTCATAAGTCATTCTTTTGCATATTCCTGTGTCTACGTAGTTGATGATTCTAGCCCATGCTTGGGATTGCTATAAAAACTATCTGGTACTCCTCAAAATGTATAGAACAAGGACCACATGCTTGACTGCTTTCACTATCTTTTGAAAAATATTCTTAGGAACAAGACTGATGTTTCTCCTTTGGAGGATAGAAATGAAACACCAAGATTATTCTTTTATTTGTTTTGATTTTGGTTTTTTTTATAGTGTGAGGAAATGAACAAAAAGGCACAAAGTGCAGACCAAAATCTCCAATATACACTGTTGGAGATGTATAAATGCAATTTTCAAGTTAAAACCTCTCAAATGCTCTTTCTCATACTGAGAGCTATTGAAGACTGACTTCCTTTTTGTTCTCAACAAATTGCTTCTAGATTAATAGGTTCTTGTAACATGCTGTCTTGATTCTGTTGGTACAAGGTAGGTCTTCCACATCTCTTTTTTATTTGTTTCTTTTAAAATTCTTAAGACTTGACAACAAGGGTTATCGGGGGAATAATTATAATCTTTCACTTGTCTTTTGGTTCTCTTATTGTATTTAGTCTTGTATTTGATTCCTTTACAACTTTTCTAATTGACTAAAGAGTCTTTCTTTTTCTGAGAACTGTGCTATGCAACATTCTCCTTTAAGATTTCTTAATTTGTGGTACCTGTACCGTGTGAGAATCAATTTGAACCGTGACAATTTTATAGCTGAGGGAATTTGTCTTGGTACCTGCATTCCGAGCCCATCAAGCAAAACAAAGTGGTTTCTTTGTCATTATTAGCTGGAAACGGTTTGATTTAGAAGCATTTATAGGGCATTCTAGAATAATCTATTTGATATTTGTGTCACTATTGTGTGCATAATACTGCCAACCTCATTTAGTGCTGGCCCCTCTTATTTGGATGAGACTTAGGTTGATACTGTTGTCATTGTAATACATAAATACAATGCTTTCTATCTTCCATTTTCCACGTTGTTGAACAAGCTTGGAGCTTTTCTCGGAAAATGGGTTATAGCGGAAAGATGTTGCAATGGGGTTCTCTCAACAGTTTCAGGGGAAAATAATATACACATGTCAAATATATGAAAAGGGAAGTTAGACACTGGATCAGAACCCATTTTTTACGTGGAAGTAACTGAACACTATGGAAAGGTAAGTGAGAGAGGTGTTGAAAAAATTTTAATTCACTCACAAAATTTCAAATTTTGCCCCATTTTACGCACTCATTTCTCATTTTCCTTCCCTCCTTATCTTAACATAAGGTTAGTTCAGTCATTTCTTTGTTTGTTGACAGCAACTTTCCTGTTTCATGTTGTCATCCAGTTTTTCTTGGACAATCATTCTTTATGCATCAAGGTGAAAACCTTTCAGTGGGATGTAGAGCATTTTGGAAAGACACATAAAGAAAATTTGTGCTTATTTACAACTAGACTTTTTGTTGCCCTTTTAAGCTGACCAGTTACAAATTTGGGAGGAGATGGAGTTCACCGTATCCTTTCGATGAAATTGGAAAAGATTCTAGTACAGTGTACAGCTGGAGATAAAGGGTGTTTTAGTCATTTTCTCTTGTTAGAGTTTGGAAGGGAAATAGAAACCTCCTGATGATTCCATCCTAGGATAATGAACCAAGACAAGATGGCAGAAATGGGAAGAATAAAAAAGTAAAAGGTGGAAATCTACCAACAGGCTGCAAGTCCTTCGAGAGATGGAGTAGCAGAAAAATACCTTGTAACAAAATGTTGAACTGGTAAAGTGCAAACTCTTCCATTGAGCGGTGAGGAGTCAGCATCTTACATGTGAAGGACACCTTTTCCTCTTAAGAAGTGGATGTTTTGATATTGTAGCATGTAGTGGCTTCTTTTCATTTTGTGCAAGGTAACTAGGTGGGTAAGATGGACATAGGGCAATTTTTCCATATGCTTTATTTTTATATGGAATGGCTGGATTTTACAGGTTCTATTGCTTTTATTTTGCAAAATTCTAGTTAGAATGGTTGTCATGTGGCCAATCAAGGTTTAAAGGCAGGTCTGGAATATTCCTCTGGAAGTTTTGCAAGTGCACTTGAAGTCATAACTGTCTGTGGCAAAGTTGTTGGAAAGAATTTGAGGCCTCAGAGAAAGTTATAGGTTGTGGGAAATGTGGGCTCTTGGTAGGAAAGTGATCTTGAGTATACATACTTGAATGCTTTTGCATGGATTTTTCATGGCATGTGTCTCATGGCTTTAGTTTTTATGCTATGAAATTTGTGGCAGATTTTGGATACTGTCATAGTTAATGAGATGATATAATACATCCAGAACACACACTGGCAGCCTCCTATTTGTGAACTTTATTTCAGTAACCTTGTATAATGCTTGTTAACAGTGCATTCTATATCTAATTGAGTTCTTTTAAATCTGTCAGGACGGTAAAGTTGTTGACACGTTGGAAGGTGCAAATCCATCTAGTCTGGCTAACAAAGTAGCTAAAGTTGCAGGATCGATCAACCCTGGTGCACCTGCAGCTCCTGCCAGTCTTGGGATGGCTGCAGGACCTGCAGTTCTTGAGACAGTGCAGGAGTTTGCAAGAGGAAATGGTTCTTCCCCAGTGCAGCAACAAGGGGAACCTGTTAAAATTGATGCACTTGAAGTTCGACTGCAGCAGCTAATTGATTCTCATCCAGTAATGCTATTCATGAAGGGAAGCGCTGAAGCCCCTAAGTGTGGATTTAGCCAAAAAGTTGTAGATATTTTGAAGAAAGAAGGGGTCAAGTTCGGAACATTTGACATCTTATCTGACACTGAGGTTCGTGAGGGATTGAAGAAGTTTTCAAATTGGCCAACTTTTCCCCAGCTCTACTGCAAGGGAGAACTGCTTGGTGGATGTGACATAGCAACTGCCATGCATAATAGTGGTGAACTGAAAGAAGTTTTCAGGGATCATGGGATCAGTATTGCCACATCCGATAAGGCAACACATGAAGAAACTGGAAGTGGTAAGGCTGGCATCACAGAATCCACTGGCTTGAGTTCAGCTCTCACGTCTCGGCTTGAAAGCCTCACAAATTCAAGTCCAGTCATGCTATTTATGAAGGGAAAACCTGATGAACCCAAGTGTGGTTTCAGCAGAAAGGTAGTTGAGATACTTAGACAAGAGAAAGTGGAGTTTGAGAGCTTTGACATTCTCTCTGACGATGAGGTCCGCCGAGGGCTCAAAGTTTATGCGAATTGGTCCAGCTATCCCCAGCTTTATATTAAGGGTGAACTCATTGGAGGATCGGACATTGTATTGGACATGCAGAAAAGTGGGCAACTTGAGAAGGTTTTACTCGAGAAAGGAATTGTTCGGAAAGAGAATCTCGAAGACCGTCTTAGGAAGTTGGTTAGCTCGTCACCTGTTATGCTTTTCATGAAGGGCAATCCTGATGCTCCTCGGTGTGGATTTAGCTCCAAGGTCGTGAATGCCCTTAAGGAGGAGGAGATTGCCTTCGGCTCCTTTGATATTCTAACCGATGAAGAAGTGAGGCAAGGTCTTAAAACCTTCTCCAACTGGCCTACCTTTCCACAACTTTACTACAAAGGCGAGCTAATAGGAGGTTGTGATATTGTAATGGATCTTAAAAATGGCGGAGAGCTAAAGGCCACCCTATCTGAGTAGAGTTGCTCCAAAATCACGCCACAAGCGAAGACAAAGCCGGACAGCAACATCAGTTTCTTTTTGCGCATTCGTTGATGATTTGCTTGTTCCAGAGGTTTTTTATTTTTTATTTTTAAATATACTCTTATATCGACTCCTTGAGATTGACTGTGAACAGTCCTTAAATGCGATAAAGTGGTAAAGAGGTGACTATCAATTGCAATCTTTAAGATGGGGAAAACTTATTTTTTATAGTGTAAAGATGGTGAAGCTCGCATGGTTCTCGTCGTGTTTGAAGAATTGTTGCGGTTTTGTGTGGTTGCCTTCTGTTTGTTGAAGCTCAGGGATGGTTTCTACGACGGCTGTGGTGAATATGCGGTTCTGTCATCTTGACGTATGGATTTTGCTGATTGTACATTGTTTGTCATTCGGACATCATTCCTCTTCATTTGGGCAGAAAATTCACCTGTAACTTGATAGGAACTATCTATTGTTTTTGTTATTCTACAATTTAGAAAGTAGCTAGGAACAAAATGAAATAGGAATTCGAAACAGAGGCAGAAGAAGTAAGAGAGGATACTGGAATTTCGTACGAGACTTAACGAACTGAGCATAAACTTTTTCTGCCCGAGAAATTTTAACACAGTTAACTGAAGAAAAAAGGATACTTCCCAAGTCTCTAACAAATTCCCAAGGATGATTCAATTTCACTTACGACAATGATTCGCCCAGCCTCAGATATATATCCTGAAGCGATACTTTGCTGCTTAATGCCGAGTCATTCGTTTTTTCTTGCTTTGGGTCGATTGAAAGTCATTCACTGTCTGTCACTGATATTCAAGTTATGCTGGAATTTTATTTAGGCAAAGAAATGCACATTTCTCGTGCAAAGGAAGCGACTTCGCCATAAAGGAGCGCGAACTCATACTGATTTCAGACATAGAATTGCCTGGCCAATTCTCTGCGAAGACATCAAGATGTGGAAGGGACACGGAAAACTAGAAGATTCTCAACGCACCCCCAAAGAAATATCCCACACCTTTAACATCGGCGCTTCGATGCTCCGATGATTTACTAGTTCTCAAGCACTAACCTGATTTTCTCCAATTTGCGGAAGAGCAATTTCATTCAGAATTCTCTGTTGACTTGCTTGAGGTGAACAATGGCACTGCAAATGATCTTCCACTACCCAAGGTTTCACCGGAAAACCAGCGGACAAAAAGTCTGGCTGTTTGATCATTCCAAATAGCGGTGTGTCGTGTGCCAATAACATCTTTCACGCCAATGAGCTTGTTTCTTCTCTTTCTAGGTCAGCAGCTTTCGTTCTGTTTAGAACCCACCCACATCTTACTCTCTCTTGAATCAGCCTTTAACAGGGCATCATGGATTTCTCTGCTTACAGGGACGATGGATAAGAAGCCTGCAAAAGCTTCCACATCTGCTACATTACTATTATCACCAAGCCAATTTAGAATTGCTGTGATCAACTTAAGATCGGGCTTCCACCTTTTCTTCGTCATGGGAAGAGAGAGGGCCACCTTCATGCTCTTCAATGCTTTCTCCATATCAACTTTGTGCCAATATCCTGCAGCCACTCCCGCCCAACTGTCTGGAGTAGTTTCTTTTCCTTTCTCCAACAAATTCTCGAGGAGCATTTCGGCTTTCTCATGCAACCCTTTTTCAGAAAAAGCCGCTATGACAGTATCTGGAATTCGAAAATCATAACAGTTCCCAGATGATTCCCACTCCTTCAGCACTTTCTCAGCTTCTTCAAGTTCACCAAGCTTCACCAGAGATTTTAGTAGGTTAAAATAATCCTTGTTTATGCACCTCTTGCAAGCATTTTTCTCTAGATCCCACAACCTCAAAATTTCTGTCATGTTTCCCAGACTAGCATGGAGTGATATCAATTGGTTATATCCAATCCCATCTTTCCCAGTTAGTCTCTCTTCTGATCTCTTCAGGGCATCGAGCGCCTTCTTGGTCAGCCCTGCTTTTATGTAAAAATTTGCAACAACGGCATACGTATTCCAGTCCACGGCTATGTGAGGTTGGGTTTCCATCTCTATGAGGAGTTCTTCCATTCCCTTTAAGTCAGATCTCTCACCATAGGAATTCATACAGATCCTGTAGCTAAAGTTATCGGGCAAAACTTTGTTCTCTTTCATCTCAGCTAACACATCGGATACTTTATCGTGCTGTCGAATTTTCGTGAACAAGCACATCATGTTGTTGTAAGTGAGAGCCGTCAAGTCAAAACCCTTCTCCCTCATTTTCCGGAGATGAGACAAGGACTTCTCCACCTGGTGCTGCCTTACATAACAACTAAGGAGAGCTCCATATGTCTTGTAAGTTTTATCATGGTCCATCAAGTTCTCAAAGTAGTTTTCAGCTGAAAGTAATCCGTGGACCCTCCCTATTAAATCTAACTGCACAGCATGCTCCACAGGTGAAAAAACAAAAACACCGTTCTTTTGGGTCCATTCGGAGACCTGCAAGACAAGACCACGGAAAATAAGAGCGTAGACAGCAGAATTGCTCGCCTCAAAATCAAAGGTTGTGCATATTATACCTCCACCACAAAACCCCACCCCTTTTCCAAATCAAAAACACAGATCCTGAAGGAAAAGAAAAACGAAAGGGCCACCTAGGACATGTCCTATAGCAGTCATCAACTTTCCCGAGACCACGGAATCTGCACCTAATCGGACTTTCCTCTTTGAGGGTAGTAAATTCACTTCTTTAGGAGGCGCTGTCTATGAGGACAAAAAATGCAGGTCTTCATTCTGTTCCCAATGGCTAGCCTACCAACACTCTGCATACAATTAATCCTTCTCTTTGTCCCTTGTTCTTGTTACAATAGTGTCACTTCATTTTACCGTTGCAATCACAAACCCAATCTCAGATCTCTACCCTAATCACAACCCACTTTTTATACAAGCACGAAGGTTAATCGGCCAGAAGAACGGAAGAAACCAACTAGAACACAAGAAAGATAACTACACGCCATAATCTGTCTAATTGGGTGCATAAGTTCATAGAGCACTCGTATCGAATTAGAGACCAGCAGAAACAAACAGCTCAAAATTGACCCTTTGAGTGATCTAAGCACCCGCAATCGGTCAAATTACAATCTTTCAAATAACTTGTCCGTGTCAACACACAATTTGCACATCACAGACCAAGTATTCTATCCCACAAAAACAAAAATCCCGACTTTGAACACACAAAGCAATCCGCGACCCACACAACATCCCGAAATCACGCTATTAGAAACATCACCGAACCACACGCTACTCAACGTCACGCGAAACAGACCCACATTCATCAGGACACCAACAGCCCAATCAACAGCTCGACCGAAGGAGGTGGGGAAAGAAGAAACAAAAAACCCAGATAGCGACGGACCTCGAGCGCGTGAGAGAACCGTTTGCGGCGGCGGAAGTCGCGGATGATGCGCTGGAGCTCGGCGAACCGGACCTTGTGGCCCCCTCCGACCCAGGCGTCGAGCACCGGAGCGACGCTCCGGCCGGGGCTCCCGAGGGGGCTGACCTCCGAGTAGAGGGTGGGCTTGCGGGTCCTGCTCTTGTAGTAACCTCTGCACGTCGAGCCGATCGCCGCTTGGGGAAGCCGGCGGCAGATTTGGGAGCGGAGCAGAGACGACCAAGCGTTCATTGATGCAGAGCGAGCGACAGAGAGAGAGAGAGAGGGGTTTAAGCAGGGTTTTGCTAGACAGTCAGCCAATTCTTCTGTTCATAACTTCGTATAGTCATCAAATGTGATTTCAAAATACATTTACATATTATTCTTGATTAATATGGTCTCTAATTTAAGGTTTGGTTTTTTTTTTTTTGTATATCATGATCTCTAATTATAAGGTTAATAAAGTTAACAAAATGGAAAATGACACAAACAGTCCCCGAACTTTGGCCCATTGTGCGATGTGGTCCCCGAGCTTTTAATTTGTTCAATGTGGTCCCTGAACGTTAACCCAATGTGCAATGCTGTCCTTGAACTTTTAATTTATTTAATATTGTCCATGAACTTTTGGTACATATTCAGTTTAATCCTTGAATTATATGTAAAATATTCAATGTAGTTTTTCCATTAATTCAAGATCACGGACTACATTAAATATTTTCATATAGTTCAGGGACTACATTGAACATGTACCAAAAGTTCAGGGACAACATTGAATAAATTAAAAGTTTAGGGACTGCATTGCACATTAGGTTAAAGTTCATGGACTATATTGAACAAATTAAAAGTTCAAAGATCACATTACACATTAAGCTAAAGTTCAGGAATTATTTGTATCATTATCCCTAAAGAAAATGGAGGAGATGCATGATTGATGAAGTTAAGAAATTTAGAAGAGATTATCTTGTTTAAGAACTTATTTCTATTTTACAAGCCATTATGTGTGCTATACGCTAAGCGCATGTTTCAAAATCATGTTCTCTCACTCATACTCACCAATTAATGATGTAGCCTATTTAAAGTAACAAATTTTGGAACCCAACAAATCATGAAGCCCTTGACCATTTGCCACTAAAGAAGCAAGTAGACAAGCCACAAAGGAAAAGGAGAATGCAGGACTTCGAGACGACAAGTAAGAGGATGAGTAGAATTAGTGGAAAAATTAAGTGCTCATGCTGCCATAAGGAAGGGCATAGCAAGGCTGGATGTTAATTGAAGAAGCAACAACAACAAGCGACACAAGAAGGCAACGATGCAAGGCCAATTGCAAGGTCAACTCCAAAGACCAGCTGCAGGGCCAGCTGATGCAATTGATGTCTTTGTTAGCAAATGCTAACTTTATGTTGATGTAAGAACATCCTTGTTCTGAATGCAATGTTGTTTTGTTTGAATCTAAGTCATGGTTGATGGAATAATTACTTGTGTATGTGTTTCCAAATTTGTACGCAATGTGTGTTGCCAATTAAGTGCTCCAATCTTGCTTCTTTGTAAGCTGGTAATGGATATGTATAAGAAAGTGAAACCAACAAATTACTTTTTAAAAAGTTGAAAATCATAAGTGATCACTTTTACCATAAAAGATCACTCGCAAACTTGTGACAAAGGTACTGCTCTTCAATCCCATACACAGAGTAGCTAAAACTAGCCGCAAAAAGCTCAACCATCAATCCTTAACCAACCACTGCAGTAGAAATTGCAACACAAACTTAATGAAAAGACACTACCCAACAAATTGATCACATAACAGGCCATTCAACACCATACACACAATTTCCAGAAAATACAGATGCATGCTTGCCCAACAATTTCTAGACATAAGAGTTAAACCCACAATTGTAACATTATACAAAGTTCCAGCAAAATTGACCACATTACAGAGTAACAACTAACACGCACTATAGTTACATGAAGAATAACTAGTTGAAGCTTGTTTGGTTGGGCAATTTACTTTACAATACAACAGCACATTCCAATGATCTTCAACTATGGAAGACTGAAAAGCTTTCTTCTCATCACTTAGTTTACAATTGAGCATAGGCAAAACTAGACAACAACAACACAAGCAATACACACTTGAACTTTCTTTCACTTTTCATCCTTGAACTTCCTTTTTCAAGTGGTTTGCCAGATATTTAGAGCCTTTGTTTCTGCTTGCATTGAGTTGGCATCGTCCAACTCGTTTGTTAATGTAGGTGGAGAGTAATATCTTTCTTGAAGTAGCTCTAAGATCACTTATGTTGCTCAACCTAAAAAATTTGCATTGACCTATCTAACATATTCGCACTTCGAGCTTGTTTTATACCTGGCGCATCCATAAAATCTTCTCTTAGGATTCAACCTTGTCCAAGTTGTTCTTCTTGGACTTCTGAGCGCACAATAGCAGTAATAGTCACATTTGTCTTGACTTTGTTAACACAAACTTGAGCCTCCTATCCCGCTATTACTCTCCGTTGTAAGATTCAGTTTTTAATTTTGCCCCAAAATGCCTCGATTTGAATTGGGGTTTAAAGAAGAAGTGAAAATTGGCTCAATTTGTCCCTAATTCTTTTAAAATTTGAAGCAAATATGTGTAGCGACGTTGTGTAGGGCATTCATGCTGGAATATTGCCACGTCGGATTTCCGACAAGCCACGTCGGTCAAAAATGTTAAATTAGCACTAAAGTTATCATTTTTTTACCAAAGTAGCACTGAGGTGATCCATCAATAAGTTTTGACATTAAAGCAATTGTCTTATGAAAGTTATGGCACTTCAAGTATCCTTGTCCGGGAAAATTATCCAAAAAGTCCTAAACCAATTGCACTTTTGCCAATTCAGTCCTAAATCTTTCACGTCTTGTCAATTGAGTCTATCCGGTTAATTTTGACTGGCTGGCGCTGATGTGGTTGTCGGCCGATGTCAGCTATCCGGCCAACGCTAACGTGGCAATTTTTAAATATTTTTTTTTCAAATTTTTAATTTTTTTTCTTTTTTTTTCTTCCTTCTTCCCTCTGGCCGGTCCGTCGACCGGCCAGAGGCGAGGCCTCGCCGGCCTCTGGCGAAGCTCGCCCCCGCCCCCTCGCCGACCACTGGTGAGGGCGAACCTCGCCCGCCGCTGCTAAGCCGACCTCACCGTCGCTGGAGGTCGCCCAAATCCGATGAGATCGAGCCTCGCCCAACGACGATGAGGTTGACCTCGCCGTGGCTGGGCGAGGCTCGACCTCGCCCAGATCCAGCAAGGTCGGCTTGGCAGCGGCGGGCGAGGCTCGCCCTTGCCAGTGGCCGGCGGGGGCGAGCTTCGCCAGAGGCCGACAAGGTCGACCTCGCCGGCTTGCCCCTCTGGCTGATCGCCGGACCGGCCAGAGGGAAGAAGGCAGAAAAAAAAAAGAAGAAAAAAAATATTTAAAAATTGTCACGTCAGCGCAGGCTGGCCAAAATTGGCCGCATGGACTTAATTGGCAATAAGTGAAAATATTTAGGACTGAATTGGTAAACTTAAAAGGTTTAGAATTGAATTGGTAAAAGTGCAATAGGTTTATGACTTTTTGGACAATTTTCCCCTCCTTGTCCCTCCAAAAAAAATATCAATAGCTTTTAATTCGACAGTTGCCCGCTTTATTTCCGCTTCACACTTCTATCTGGCAACAACAAACACAACAGCCTCGATCTTTCGTTCCTTCGGAGAAGGAGACAAAGGAATTTGATCGAAAAAAACTCTAGAAATTCAAGTCCTCGGCTGCACAAGTTGCAAGTTCGAGGTTCACGTTTGGATGATTTCAATTTGCACGCCACTAAACACGAACAATCTAGTGTTTATGTTGACCAACCCGATCTTCACATGGAGGGACCCTTGCCAAGGGGGAAGAGCCCACCAAAAGTTCAAGTTCATGAATTCTCGAGAAGATTGTCCTTATATGCTTCGAGAAGTCATAGGATAATTTCTTGATAAGATTGCGACACCCTTTATTGGGTTTTGATCTCTCAATGCAAAGGACGAAAATCAACAGAACCCCACATCCTTAATCTCTTCAATCTGCAACTACTATTCTTCACCATATCCCCTAAAATTGCTCTTGTGCGACATTATCTGCTCATGGTGGTGGTGGTTGTTGCCCATGTACTGGCCAAGGCAATCCAGCAGCTTCATCTCTAGGGCTTTGAACTGCTCTATCTGGGTCTCCAACTCCATCTTCTCCCTCCTCAAGTTCTTGTTCTCCTCCATCAATTGGACACGACCACCTTCCTCTGACAAGCTCGCACTGATCTGTGCATTGCTGTTGCTGTTGCTGCTGCTGTTGTTGTACTTGTGGTGGTCTTTGGAAGGTCTCAAGAATGAAGGGAACACGCTCGGCTCGCACTTCTTGCGGATAATCTCCGTGAGCTTGTGCCTGCACCCCCTTTGGAACTTGTCATGCTTGAACTCCCATCTCTTGGATGATGTCTTCTTGAATCCCTGCTTTTTTTCAATTTTTTTCAATAATCAACAAAATATTGAACCTATTCAAATTGTAAACCTATGTATGGTTAAATACGCCGTGCAATAAGTAGTCGTATCTAAATGTCGAATTACGATATCAAGGTTGCGCTCATTTGTTCCCTGTCTATACTTTCCTTACTCAGCTTCCCAAAAAATGTTGCTTTGTGGACATAAAAGGAGCCTTCAAAGTAAAGAGAAACTTCAATAAAGTACTTGTACATTTCTAACTATCCAAACCTCTCACTACGCGTGATTGACGCACATACTGTTTGTGTGTCGTCGACTCACTATGTGGATATAACATAAGGTGTTCGTTAACTAGTACTTTATATGTCATTTCATATTTGGACTCGCAAATACTTTCTTTAAACTTAGCAAGCCCGCACATGAGCATAGAAAATACATATGGTGTGCAACATGCGACCCGAAATCAAATAAATCTGCGCTGACCAATGTCCAAACTTTAGGCACATATTTCAATTTTAGCAAGCTGCGTCCAAGCTACACCACCTCATGTATGGGTTCAACACATGGCTGACTTCCTTCTTCTTTATTGTTTTGTTACAAAGACCTATTATCGAGGAAAGATACGACAAGAATACTCTTGAGGCGACACGTATTCTGCATTTTTTGAGTAAAACTCCATTTGAATTTTGACCGGCATTTGAATTTCTAGGCCACTTCAGTTCCGGTTTGTCTGCCTGAGGAGGTTTCCTCGTTACTGAAGGACAAAAAGAAAAAGCGTACCCTTTTCTTATTATTCAACAAAAAGTTATTTGTAGCTCCTGGACTAATAAAAATTTGAAATATAACAAAGAAAGGTAGAGAAGACAAAGTACATGAAATCTCCAAGATCTAAACTCAGAAGCTGTGTATCCTTCAATGATATTTCTCGAAGGTCATATGATCCTATCCACTAGTACAAACTCTAATTGATAGTGAAGATAAAAAGTCAGGTTGCGATGCATCTCGAAGAACCAAGCATGCAGATGAGTTCAGAAGTGTCCATCTGAACCATTAAATCCAGCTGACTCCCATCTAAAATCTTGGTATCTAAAATCACTAGATTCAGTGCTGCAGATAAGTTCAGAATGCACGTATCTGATCAGAGAGAGAGAGAGAGAGAGAGAGAGAGAGAGAGAGAGAGAGAGAGAGAGAGGGACTAACGTAGGTATTGAGTTGGCGAATGAAACTGGAGAAGTTGTTGTGCTTGAAGTACTTGGGCAACATGTGCTCCGAGAACTCCGCAGGGCACCACACTACAAACCCACTCCCTTCTCTGTTCCACGATATCATCTTCTTCTCCTTCTTCTTCTCCTTCTTCAACATGGCCTCGCCATCACCATCACCTTCTTCTTCCTCTTCCTCACCGCTGAGATCATCTTCCCCGGCTTCGTCGAGAAGATCGAAGGTCTTGAGCAAGAACGGGGCGGGGCCTCTCGTCCTCGGGCTCGTGCTCGTGCTCGTGCTCTGGAGGTTGCCGTTTTGCTCTGAAACTTCCTCGCGAGCCGCCATTGTCGTCACTTACGTGTTCCTTCGTTTGTCACTTCTTCTTGCGCGAGGCACTCGCCCTGTTGTTCTCCAGTCTTTTCTGTTTTATACTATTCAACTCAACCAGCCTCGCTAGGAAACTGCTGGCGTCCTGGAAGGTGGAGTGAGGTTTCTTTCTCCTTCTTTTGGAAACTTTAGTGATGTTTTTCTAAGGTAGTCTATCTTTAAAAAAGTGTGAGTGGACTGCTCTAGGAGTACTCAAGATTAACTTTGAATTCTGTTTGCAAATTAATTTTGTTAACTAATGTTTTGTCTACTACGGTTATTTCAAAAAAAATATTATGCAAAGGAATCCTATGATTTTTTCGGTCAACAAATCAATCAATGGAAGTAATAATGCAAGTGACTATCGTTCGAGATTATTTAGTTATACTGAATCGATCTCATCTTGAGAAACTATCGGACCCATATTGAATCCTGATAAACACATTTGTAAGCACCACGACGTACTCAATTGCGATTACTGTTTACCACGGTGACTATATTTTTATGCACGATTCTGTTGGAGATTAAAGGTGAAATTAACTATAGTGATTAAATAGGCACAAACTGAGTGTGAATGTACTTTTCCATGTGGGAAAAAAAGCCATACTTGCACAAAGTGGTCACCTTGTATAGTTGGGATGACCTATAAGTTTTGCGACCATAGTGAACAAATAACTATTTTTTGTTTACTTACAATTGATGTGATCGGCTCTGCTCATCACGAAACAGACCCAATAATGTCTTCCGCCTCTCTTCTTCTGTGAAGTACTTGGAAAAAGGGATGAAAACAATAACCATTGATAAGGATGCACCTCCCTCTCTTAACCAGTAGTCATAGTCAAAATGGAATTCAATTACGATGTCTCAACGAAACTTCCGAAATCAATTCACTAATCAAAACAGGGGCTCCCGCGCAATACGTAATACCCCTATACGAGCTCACTAGTTAACCGTACTTTTTAACGAAATGTTTCGATTTCCAATACATTGATTATGCACGAGGCGAAAGAAAAAGATAGTGCACCGAAAATCGCGGACTTTCTTTATAAAAGGTTTTTAACAAGTGCCATGGCAGCACTCGATCCTTATAATCTGGGCCGAATTTTCGTGTATCTTCTAGCCCGTCGATGCATGATTAAGGCTAAGAACGCGATTAAAAAGATCTAAGCTGGCAGGGACAGTGATAACTAATTTTTGACCTAAAATTTTCAAGAAGCATCTTTCTACTAATTAATCACCTAATCAATTATTAAAAGGGACCATGGAAGAAGATCAAAGGAGGATATGGGGAGCTCTGAGCTTTTCTCTCTCTCTCTGTCTTTTCCATGGTCAAAGAAGTCTTCCTGATGTGCGGGCGAGGTGTGATCCGGTGCCATCCGTTCTACGACAGGGTTTTCCTTCGTTCAAGATCTTGACGGTATCCATTGGTGCAGAGGGCCTCAAGATGCGGAAAGTCGTCTTTGACTTTTGGGGCCGAAAGCAGCGGGATGTGATGCCATTGGTCGTCCGGCGGGGGAGCACGGTGGGGGCGGGATGCAGGAGATGGAATGGACGGTAGCAAGCCCAGTTTGACTGGTAAGAAAGAAGGTAAAATGGCACGTGCGACAGGTACTCGATCCTTTCTAAATCTTTTTCTCCATTTGTTTTTTTTTTGGGAAAAAACCACCAAAAACCCCAAACTTTATCATTTGTGACACATTTACCCCAAATTTTTTTTTTGACACCAAAAACCCCGAACTTTGCTTTTTGTGACACATTTACCCCAATGTATTTAGTCCATGGGCATTTTTTTTTCTTTTTTTTTTTTTTTTTTTTTTTTTTCTTTTTTTTTTTCCTTCCCGTGAGGGGGCCTCGCCGCGATCCGGCGAGGGGGCCCATCGCCGGCGATCCGAGCGAGGGCGGCCCTCGCCGGCGTCGGCGAGGTTCGCCCTCGCGGGCGAGCGAGGGCGGCCCTCGCCCGACTCGAGCGAGGTCGACCCTCGTCGGCGTCGGCGAGGGTCGACCTCGCTCGAGCCTCGGGCGAGGGCCGCCCTCGCTCGCCCGGAGCGAGGGCGACCCTCGCCGGCGTTGGGCGAGGTCCGCCCTCGCCTAGGCGGCGAGGCCGCCCTCGCCCGTCTGGCGAGGTCGACCCTCGCCCGTGTCGAGCGAGGTCGCCCTCGCCCGATCCGCGAGGGCCGCCCGGCGAGGCGGCCTCCGATCGGGCGAGGGCGACCTGCCGACGCCGCAAGGGTCGCCCTCGCCCGTCGGCGAGGGTCGCCCTCGCCGCGAGTGGCCGCCCTCGCTCGCCCGGGCGAGGCGACCCTCGCCCGACGCCGGCGAGGGTCGACCTCGCCAGAGGATCGGGCGAGGGCCGCCCTCGCCGTGCGAGGGCGTCCTCGCCCGACGGCGAGGGTCGCCGCTCGGGCGGCGAGGCCGCCTCGCTCGACGCCGTCGAGGGTCCTCGCCGGGCGGCAGCGAGGGCCTCGCCCGGGCGAGGTCGACTCTCGCCCGACGCCGGCGAGGACCGCCTCGCTGACGGCGAGGGTCCTCCGGAAAGGAAAAAAAAAGAAAAAAAAAAAAGAAAAAGCAAAAAAGACGAAAATGCCCATGGACTAAATACATTGGGGTAAATGTGTCACAAAAAGCAAAGTTCGGGGTTTTTGGTGTCACAAAAAAAAGTTCGGGGTAAATGTGTCACAGATGGCAAAGTTTGGGGTTTTTGGTGGTTTTTTCCCTAATTTCGGCACTAATATTTTGTTATTTCTATTTTCACTTTTAATTATATGAGAAAACACCAAAAAACAATCTTAAATTATGCCAACTGTGATATCATACCTCCAATTTTTTTGTATCGCAAAAAATCCTAAACTTATCCACCATAACATAAATACCCCAAACTTTTTTGCGTAACGAAAAACCCAAAATTATATCCTCTATTATAGTTTTATCGAGACTGTGTTTATCACACCGGTATAAGTTCGAGATTTTTTATGATACAAAAAAAAACAGTCTGTGGTATTCAGTTTGGAGTTTTTCTTTTGTGGTATTAACCCTATATATATTTCCATGAATCTCTAGATACCCGACTCTCCATGTCCGTCCCTCTACTTTATGGAAAAAAAAAAACAAAAAAGGAGGACACTTTTCCTCTTTATTTCGCCAATTTTCTTACGACAGAAAAAACTTCGAGAAATTTTCGGGCCGTGGAGCAAAATAAATAATTAATGAAAATCACCTAAAATACGTTGATTCAAGTAATACATATAATATTTTTGTGACTCGAAAGTAAGACCAAGAAGTCCAACATTGGGTGAATTTTTAATGTGCCAATTAGATCTTGGCAGCCATAAGACTATGGTTACAATACTGTACTGTAAAATCTTTACTCATTTGACGTACTTTTTCACATATGTTTTGAGGGCATTAATTCCAAAATCCCCATTATTTTTTATAGACGTCATAAAATTTACTTTCAAGGTCGGTGATGAAAGTAATTATAGGTTTTAAAAGAAAAATCAAACCCATCGAATAATTAACATATATTTATACATAGTTATATATTTAATTGTTTATCCTTGGTTACAAAGTGGTTGCTGTGGTGTAGTGGTTATCACGTTAGTCTTACACACTAAAGGTCTCCAGTTCGATCCTGGGCAGCAACATCTCTTTTTTTTTTTTTTTTTCCTTTTAAATCATTTCCCCCTTTTTCTTTTCTTTTCTTTTCTTGATACTAGTATATATTTACTTCTAATTGATGAAAAATTCATATTTATCGGTTCTCGATTTCTCAACCGATGTAATAGTATATTTCTAACAATTTTTGGCTGAATGAAGAGGCAACCGAAAATAGCATGTAGTTTGATTTTTCATCGATTATTGTCATCTATTATAAGAGTGCTCTCTCCCTTTGGTCAAATACTATAAAATGTGTTCTCAAATTGGCTTCAACAACGATTTCTTAAAAGTTCCTACCTCAAAGTCGTAAAATGGAATGGTCAAAGATGATCACCATCTTTTTGGCCCTCCAGATCATTGACCAGATGAATTTAATCTTTTGGGCATCCACCAAATCAAGATCTTCGGTTGGACTGAAAAGTACAAGGCATATAATATAATATTCATATCACACGGCATGTCGATACCGTATCACCAATCAGTCCTACATTCTTCTGGTACACATTTTATACAATGCCCAATATATATATTTCGTAACAATAAGTGATTTCTTGTTTGATGTTAATTCCGTGTGATATACTTGCTCGGAATTAAAAATTCTTCTTTCATTCAACTTTCCAACTTTTGTAGTCGTCGGAAAAGTTGGCGTTCACATGCTAGAAAGATTGATCCATCTTGAATAACTCATGTGGCAAATGTCATTAAATACTCGCCGAAGGTGTTGACTTTTCTATTTGATGCAGAGGTGTTAACGAACGGGTTGAGAACTCAGTAAGAACACTACATCAAGAAGGTCTTGTTTTCAAGAGTATCGATTATATATCGCACAAGAAGTGCCGGTATATTGAAATCCTATAATTCTTTAGTTTCGTTACTTAATTAGTGTTTGGTTGGAATGAAAAGTACAAGACGTATAATATAATATTCATATCACACGACATGCCGATATCATATCACCGATCAGTCCTACATTCTTGTGGTTCACATTTTATACAATGCCCAATATATATTTCATAACAATTAAGCGATTTCTTGTTTGATGATAATGCCGTGTGATATACTTTCTCAGAATTAAAAATTCTTCTTTCATTCAACTTTCCAACACTTTCCAACTTTTGTAATCGTCGGAAAAGTTGGCGTTCACGTGCTCGGAAGATTGATCCGTCTTGAATGACTCATGTGGCAAATGTCACTAAATACTCGTCAAAGGTGTCGACTTTTCTATTTGATGCAGAGGTGTTAACAAATGGGTTGAGAACTCAGTAAGAATACAATATCAAATAAGCTACAGTGCTGCTATAGTGCTACTATAATGTTGCTACAGTATTGCTACGGTGATGAACAGTGACTGCTACAGCGATGAATAGTACATCGTTACAATACCTTTGCTACAATAATTTCCCACCAACGAGCCACTTTTTCAACCGCGCTTCTCCCCATGAATCCTATGACTGAGAGGCTTAGG